CGGCGCTGTCCGTGGTGCTGCCGCGGCCCGGCAGACGGGCGGAGAGCCGGGTCTCGACTGCGTGGAGAGCGAAGGCTCGTGGGCCCCCCACGTGTCCCTCGCCCCCACACCACGGCTTCAGGCGTCTCCCGGACTGATCTGCGCTCGCGACGTCAGGCCCGGGTGGCCCGAGCAGGAGGTGCTGGCCCAGAGTGCGCATGCGCGCGCTGCCCCCTGCCCCTCCCCCGTCGCTGCTCCACGGGGTTGGGGTCGCTGCACGCTCTGCGGGGGAGCCGCGCGCCTCTAGAGCGTCAGGTGAGGGGGTGCCCGACCCAAGGTCACCGGGCAGTGCGGGCGGAATTGGGCACAGCCCTGGCTCCAACCCCGGCGCGCACTGAGAAGGACGCGCTTCGCGGCGGAGGTTGGGAGGCGCTGAAACCACGCCCTGGGCCTGGCTGCGCTGATCAGCGCAGAGGTGGGGGTGGCAGGGGTCCCAATGGCAGTCCATGCAGCAACGCAGGAGCTGTCCAGAGATACCAGATGAAGCCATGCAGTGCACGCAAGGGCAGGTGCAGGGCTTCTCTCTTCCACCCCCCTCCCCACCTGCGCACAGATGGGCGCGCTGACAACCACCCCTGAGTCTTGTGCGTAGCGCCCCGCCCCCTGGCCTGCCGGATTAGGGGTTTGTCCGCTGGGTAGAGGATTTCTGGACTGGCCTTCTTCCCCCTCCCGGCACTGGGTCTTCATGACTCCCCAGGCTGGCCGTTCTACACAGTCCTGCGTCCTGTCAGCAGCAGCACCCGAGTGCCAGGAGAAGGCCAAGAAGCTTTTCCATCTCAGGCCTGACCACTGGAGGCCTGGAGCCCTGGAGCCCTGGGCCAGCCTTTGTGCTTGGGAAAATGGACCCCAGGGGTTCAGAGAATGTCCCATCTTCTTGGGGTCCATACTCTTCTGGATACCTGGGAACTGCTTCTGCCTAGGCCGAAGCACTTCCATTAAACCTTTATTTGCTGGGCTTGTTTTCACTTCATCTCTAGTTTCTTCGTATAATTCCTTGAGTTACAATTTAGAGTGAGGTTTCAGCAGACAACAAGGCCATGTGATGCCTCATGACTCACAGCCTCTAGGGAGACCAGTGGACAGCCACAGGCTGGGGGGCAGCACACACTCCACCCTGCTGCCCCTAGCTACAGAGAGCTGCACTTCTCAGCTAGGTCCCTGGCTTTAAAACTAAGTTTGTGCAGGTAGCTAAGCTCAGGGCTTCCCATCTTTCTAGGGTCAGCCCTGTTACCCCTGGAGACACACACACCTGCAGTCTGGGGGGTCACTGCCCACAGGTCCCACTCTGGAAGCTGCACTTGAAACCCTGTTGGTGGCCCCTGGATTCTTCCCCATTGTTTTACTTAATCCCTAAACCCCTAATGAGCTCCCTGAAGTAGCTAAACTGCTTCACCCCCTGGGAAACACAAGGACAGGGAAAGCTGTGCTTGGCCTTCCCGTAGCCATTGGCCCTAAGGCCAGCTCTAGCCATGTTCCCAACAAATGCAGCAGGAACCCCAGTAGGGGAACAGCACGAGATCTGGGACCAGGGGACCGAAGTCAAGGCTGAGTGAAGGTCAGGTGGCAATAGGAACAGGGACAGCGGCATGGTTGGGGCGTTGGCCTTGTCCTGAGGACACTAAAGGGAACTTGGCTCTGGTCGGGAGTCTGTGTAGACGGGGTGTTCATGCCCTGTGCCTGCCCTCCCCCCTGCCCATACTGGAATAACCGCCAGGAACTCACTGCCCACATGTTCCCAGCCTAATTGTGCCCACACCAGTCCCTCACCCTCTAGATTCAAGGGACAGGATTGGCTCCTTGCCAGGAGGTAGGGCTGAGCTGAGAGGCTGACCACACCAGGATCAGGAAGCTTCCCAACACAGGGTAGGGTGGCATGAGGCTAGGGCTACGGAGTTGGAGTGACTGTCCCCACAGCCACATCCTGAGGCAAGACTGAGGACACTAGGAATTCCAACTCGGAAAATGGTGTCCCAGGAGTTTATGGTGTTTTTATCAAGAGAGGAGAATAAAGAATGTTGTTTATCCGTTCCTTCAGATGACACGTAACTTTAAAAAATTGGACGCAGGGTGTGGGTACCCAAATGTTAGGGCCCGTGTGCCCGCTGTGTTTCAGGAGCGGCCCGAGGGAGGCCGCAGCTTTGTAGCCCGCGGCGGGTCCCGCGGGAGATGGCCCCGGGGGCGCACGCACTACTACTGCTGCTGCTGCTGCTGCCGCCGCTACCCGGGTTCCCGCCACGCGCCGCCGGCTGCCCGGCCGCCTGTCGCTGCTACAGCGCCACGGTGGAGTGCGGCGCCCTGCGGCTACGCGCCATCCCGCCCGGAATCCCGCCAGGCACGCAGGTGAGCGGCGGCGGAGTCGCCCGGATACGGGCGGAGGGGCCCAAATCTGGAGGGAGGGCGCCCGGCTGGCAAAGGTGACCCTGCAACGACATAAACACCCTCTGGTCGCCCGCAGACGCTGTTCCTGCAGGACAACAGCATCGCGCGCCTGGAGCCGGGCGCGCTGGCGCCGCTGGCTGCCCTACGTCACCTCTACTTGCATAACAACAGCCTGCGCGCCCTGGAGGCCGGCGCCTTCCGCGCACAGCCGCGACTGCTCGAGCTCGCGCTCACAGGCAATCGGCTGCGCGGCTTGCGCAGCGGTGCATTCGCCGGCCTGGCCCAGCTGCGCGTACTCTACCTGGCGAACAACCAGCTGGCCCGACTGTTGGATTTCACCTTCCTGCATCTGCCGGTGAGCGGGACCGAGAGGGGCAGGGGTTCTTCGGTGCTGCCAACTGCCCTGCAGGGGTGGCGCAGTGAAGGGCAGAAATGCAGGCCCCAACCTAGCGCGGACTCTGGCTCTAGCCGGAGCTACAATCTGCAGGGTGGATGGGGGAGCCTGGGGCCTGGGCCCCTTCCCTGATTACCAGTCTCTCCCTCAGCGCCTGCAGGAGCTGCACCTGCAAGAAAACAGCATTGAGCTGCTAGAAGACCAGGCCCTGGCTGGGCTCTCCTCACTGGCCCTGCTGGACCTCAGTAGGAACCAGCTGGGTACCATCAGCCGGGAGACCCTGAGGCCCCTGGCCAGCCTGCAGGTCCTGCGCCTCACAGGTACCTCCCTCTGCAGGCACAGGGGTCTCAGGCAAGGGTCTCTACTTGGGCACAGTGGTGGAGCAGAGGAGGAGGCCCAGGTGTGCAGGCACTCTGGCCACAATGGCTGAGCCACAGAACATTAGTTAGGAAGCAAAAGGGAAGGCCACCGCACATCGGCACTAGGGGAGCTGTAGAAACACAGCTCAGGGATTTCTGACCGGAAGACTGAAAGACGGGAGTCCAACAAGCCAGTGGGAGAAGTGAATGGCCAGCTATGGGGCCAGGAAAGCAAAGAGGCAAGAACGAGACAGACAGACATACAGAGAGACAGGGCAGCAGGATTGCAAGGTTCCCGTGCTGGGTGGGACGTCTGTGTGGACACTGATGTTCCTGAAAGTGGGACTTAGGGGGGGTCTGGAACTTCAGAGGAGCAGGGATTTTTTCAGACACTTGAAGAGTGGTATCCGAAACCAGAAGGGAGGGGAGGTACCTGCCCTCCCTCAAGGAGCCTGCTGTCTAAGGAGTGCCAGGCTCTAGGGTATGTGAGGAAGCTGGTGGGAGGTCAAGGAGCTGCAGCAGCGTTCTTGCCCTGGGCAACAGACCCCAACTGCACAGCCCGTGCTCTGGGGCTACCCTTGAGCCCAGCCCCCCCCCCCCCCCCTGCCCGCAGAGAACCCGTGGCGCTGTGACTGCGCCCTGCACTGGCTGGGCGCCTGGATCAAGGAGGGGGGCCAGCGGCTGCTCAGCTCCAGGGACAAGAAGCTGGTGTGTGCAGAGCCCCCGCGCCTGGCCCTTCAGAGTCTCCTGGAGGTATCTGGCAGTAGCCTCATTTGCATCCCGCCGTCTGTGCATGTGGAGCCGCTGGAGATCACAGCCAATCTGGGCGAGGACCTGCGGGTAGCCTGCCAGGCTTCCGGCTACCCGCAGCCCCTGGTCACCTGGAGAAAGGTCAGCCAGCTTCGCGAGGGCCGGCAGCAGACCCAGGCTCATCCAGCGGGTGGGACGCCCAGCCTGGGCGGGCACGGAGCCTCCGACACGGGCAGCGGCATGCTGTTCCTGACTAACATCACTCTGGCCCACGCGGGCAAGTACGTGTGCGAGGCCTCCAACGCCGGCGGCGCCGCCCGCGTACCCTTCCAGCTTCTGGTCAACGTGTCTCAGCAGCAGCGGCTGCCAGCGCCCCCGCCGCCCCTGGCTGCCGGCCCAGTCAGCCATGAGCCCCTGTACGAAGCCGGCAGCATGGCCTTCCGCGCCCTGGGCCTGGCCACACAGACGGGCATCGCGGCGGGCATCGCGCTGCTCGCGCTCACGGCACTGCTGCTGGCGACCATGATCTGCCGAAAGCGGCGCAAGCGGAAAAAGGCGGCGGGGCCCCCGGGGGAGGGCGTGCTGTTCGTCAACGACTACTCCGACGGGCCCTGCACTTTCGCTCAGCTCGAGGAGCTCCGCGACGAGCGGGGCCACGAGATGTTCGTCATCGATCGCTCCAAGCCCCTTTTCACCGAGGGGCCGGCGGCAGAGGCGCCTGCGGACCGCACCCCCGCCGAGGGCGCAGCACTCGGGCCCGCACAGGGTCTCCTGCTCCCGCCGCCGGTCGCCTACGAGATCCACTGCTGAGGCCGCGGGCCGCCGCGCGCTGATGACGTGTCCGGCGGGCCCCGGGGATTGGCCGGCCCGACCTTGCGCATGCGCTAACGCGCAGGCCAGTAAAGGGTGGAAGCTGTGGTGTGCGCCGAGCCTTGTCTGAAGGGCCGCGGGGTGAAAAGGGCAGGGGCCGGGTCTCTTGAGGGCCAGAGAAGCCGTTCCACCCACCGGATCACCCCCACTCCGCTCCAGGACCGCAGACGCAGGGTTTGCAGAGACAGCCGAGTCCTACAAGTTGGAAATGGATGGGTGGCCGGGGCATTCCCCAATACCCCAGAGACCCTCCCAGATCTGCCCAGCAGATCCTGCTCTGCGAAGACCCAACTATGCCCCTGCATAGCCTCTCCTACTGTGGGGTCTCCCAAAGGTGGAGGAACAGGGGCTGTGGGGTTGCCCAGACTGAGGAACAGAGAGGGACTGGTGGGAGGCAGGGTTCCTGGGGAAAGCTGGGGCCAGAGGCTGGCGGGCAGCAGCTGCCCAGTGGCCTGCTGGGCACAGCAATTCAATCAGCTAATTAGGACAAAAGCAGTACAGAGTCGGGTTCCAGACACACTGCACATCTGCACCTTGTTAGCACCCTTGCACCCCAGAGCCCAGCTGCTAAGGTCAGTTGAAGCAGCACAAGACACCTCCATCTCCTAGACATCAGGCTATGGCAAGCTGGCAGAGTCTAGAATGCAGGGGACCTGACCCAGTCTCACCCTCAGTGCACTTGCTCTTGGGAAGGGGCTGGGAAGTCTAGAGAGAAAACCTGGGATGCTTACAGCTGGGATCCCAGGAGGGCAGACAAGTACAGTCAAACTGGGCAGAGCTACTGCAGGCTTCAGGTCAAGGCCACACCATGACAAATGCTGCAGGCATGGACAGGAGCAAGACAGACCCTGCAGGAAACCTGAGACGAGTATTCTCCAAACGGGTCCTGAAGACTTCAGCAGGGTCCCGGAAATGGCTCTGCCTGACCCGATCTCAGGACAGCCATCGTAAGCAAAGCTGGCAGTCACAGGCTGAAGTAGTCCGCAGCCAGGCGCCCATAGATGTCTGTGGTCCAGAGAACATGCGCACGGCCTGAAGCCAGGAGTTGTTGGTGCAGCTCAGCCTCCACGCGGGCAAACTTCTCCTCATTGATGGAGGCCTCCAGTAGGACGGAGGCAGGTGGTGGCCAGGGCAGACCCTCGTAGCAGTCCACAGGAAAGGGGTGCACCACGGTGCGCAGCTCAGCTTGGGCTGCTGAGTCCCGCAGCAGCTCTCTGAGGCCCACCATGGACAGCGGGTTCCCATAGAGGCCGAGGTAGCGGAGCCTAGCACAGCGAGTCAGGGCTGGGAGTGTGGCTAGTAGCTGGGTGTCAGCCAGCTGGCACTCGGTCAGCTCCAGGTGCAGCAGCGTAGCCGCTGCTGCCTCCAAAAGTCCCTGGAAGGGCACCAGCTGGTTGCCAGACAGGTCATTGCCGCTCAGGTCCAGCTTCTTGATGTGGGCAGCGTGGACACTCCGGGCCAGGAAGCGCAGGTCCTCGGGCAGCAGGGCACAGAAGGCCAGTTCCAGGCTCTCCAGGGGGCTCTGCAGGGTGCTGCAGGAGACACGGGGGCAGGGGGTCACCTCCAGGAAGGACAGGGAAAGGCCCAGTGGGGGAGGGGCCGGCTCACCTGAGCAGCTGGTCCAGCCGCCCTGAGAGTAGGGAAGAGCCCACGCTGAGCTCCCGCAGGCAGATGAAGCGTCCCATCTGAGCCAGGAAGTAACGGAAGTTGTCCTCGCCATCCACAGAGGGCTGTCTGGAGTCTCCATGCACATAGTGCAACCGTAGGCTAGCCAGGTGCTGGAAGCGGGCCACATGCGGGATGATGACTGACAGGCCACGGAGGCCCAGGTTGTTGAAGCGCAGGTCCACACGCCGCAGGCAGCCCGCGTCCAGGAGCTGGAGCAGGGCCACTGTGTTGCGCATGGGCAGATCCTCAGCCCGTAGGTCACGGCAACAGAGGCGTAGCGGGCTGCCCACACTGCTTCGGAGCGCCTCCCGCAGGAATGCATAGGAGGCCCGGTTCACACGCAGGTCCACGCGAACTTCCACAGGAGTAGGCGCCAGCCCTGGTTCCACAGTGCCCCCTTGCTGCTGGGCAATGCAGGTGCGAGCCACAGCTGCTGTGCAGTCCCACATGCTCATGGTTCCGGGGTCCTGCTCCACGCCGTCATCCAGGAGGCCTGTCATGTCCAGCACACGCAGCACGTGCTTCCTGGGGGAAGGAGGCTGAGGTAGGTGGGCACAGGGCCCTATGCCCCCCACCAGGCACCTTGAGAGAAGCAATGTGCTCCGTCCTACGCTGAACTCGCACTAGCCTCAGGATCCCACCCTAGAACCTCCTCAGAGGATCCTCCTCGTGCTCCCAGCCCCACCTGTCACAGCCTGTACCTCACGTGGGCCTCTACCTGCAGAGGGGCTGCGTGCCGTCCTCAGCCTCTGGGCTGTGGAGCCGGGCAGTCAGCCCCAGGATCACGGCCTGCACGCTCTCGGTGCTGGGCCGCTCCTGTAGCAGGGCACGGCTGCAGTGGGCGCACTCCTGCAGCAGTTGCTGGAAACTGAGCAGCGGAAAGGGCCAGCTGTGGACCAGCTCCCGCAGCACTGCTGTCTTCTTGTCCATAAAGGCCACCTTGAACAGCAGCGGGAAGAGCTCACGTGGCAGCAGCGGCAGGGCCTGGCAGGCAGCTGGCTGGCACTGGAGCACCTGCCTCGTGCTTAGGAACACCAGTGTGTACATGGCGCTGGGCCGGGGGGCGGCCACCTGCAGGAGAAGGGGCTTCAGGAGAGGGACCCCAGCCACTGCCATGCTGCCTGGCACAAAGCTGGCGCGTGGTGGGGGCTGCTGCACACACCAGCACTGGGCAGGATAGAGCAGGAATAGGAACAAGACCACACCCCGTTCTTCGGCTTCCCGGAGCGGAGTGGAGGAGATCTGGAGGCGTAGTGCCTAAGGCATTTGACTGCTAACCAGAAGGAAACAAAATGGCCACAAGGTGTACAAACAGAACGAGCAGCACCCCCCCCTGCTTGTGTCCTGCTTTTAGCAGATCTCTGCTCCTGAGGCTCATCATCCAGACCACCAGTGCCTCTCAAGTCAAAGTCGTTTTTCAGGAGTCCCTCCTGCCTCCAAAACGGAAGAAAACCCAGATCCCCTACCCCAACACAGGAACACTGGCACCTGTGTCAGTGCTAGGAGGAGTGGCAGAGAGAATCTAGGCACACACTCCTACAGCTTAATAAAGACCACCAGAAAGGGGACAGAGGCAAGACACGGCCAGCACACCACAGCCTGCAAACCCCAAGCCCTCAGCACCAGCTGTAACCACGGTCTCCAGAGTGTGGGCAAGCATGGAGACATCTGGAGGCCTATGGCAAGGGAAGCCACCAGCCCGCACCGCCCGCACGGCACCCCCACGTCTTCCTGTGCTCTGGGAACCAAGCCTCAAAACCACAGGGTTCAGAAAGCTTCAGGCCAAGGGTTTCTCAAACGGGGCAGAACCAACTGTGGATGGGGCACTGAGCTGAGAGAATGCGCACGGCAGCATCGACAGACACATTCACAGTGTGCCACGCACCTGGTGCTGAAAACTGCCCGGAAGGCGCTGGGAGTCGGGCGTCAGCACCCTCGTGCACCAGACTGCAAAGCTCAGACGCAGGCCTTACCGAAGCCTACACAGCTGAGCGCACAGCCAGGGCATCGTGCGGCCCCAGGGCCCCCACTCCTGCTGTCTTCTCCACACCAGTAAATACTCAGGCGCGGGCTCCGCAAAAACCCCAGACGCCAGCCCTCGGCCTGTAAACAGACCGCCCGGAAACAATTCATACCTTACTCTGGCACAACAAACCAACCGAGCACCTGTTCGGAAGGCAGCAACAGCCGCCAGGCTGGCCATCGTGGGCGGGGCCTCCTGCGCAACATCCCCGGCTCCCTCCCGCCGTTCTGCACAGGAACGCCTCGGAGCGGGCTCTCCTGAAGACGCCCCCGCCGGCTCCTGCAGGCCTCGAGCCTCGGGGAGTGCTGCATCGACGCCCCTCTGCGGCGCTGCCTGCGCCCGCCCATGTGCCACCTGCTCCGCACACCGGGCTGCGTCGCCTCGCCTTGCCCGGACGTCTCCGGGGCCCTGCGCGGGACGCCCAGGCCCACCCCAACCCCGCTGGGCTCCCACTCCGGGCCTCGAGCACCCTGTGCAGGAAGGCCCCGGCCGCCCGCGTCCCGCTCTCGCACCAGGCAACGCTGGCGGGCCCTGGCCGCCCAGCTCCCTCCTCTGCACCCGCCGCGTCCGCGAGCCCGACGCCCGCGCCTCACCAGCCCCGCAGCAGCCGCCACTGCCGCCGGCGCCGCCAAGCTGTCCTCGTGCCCCACCCAGACCCGCCGCGCACTGCGCGCCACGATGACGTCAACGCCTCCCATTGGCAGCCTCGAAGCGGCCCGCGGATTGGTTGAGAACCCCGTCCCCGCCCCTGCCGAGCGTCCTCATTGGCTCGCTGGCCGGCCCGGCGCCGCCGTCCGGAGGTGCGAGCGCGGGACCGCTATGGAGCGGCTGCGAGATGTGCGGACGCGGCTACAGGCGTGGGAGCGCGCGTTCCGGGAGCGGCACGAGCGGCGGCCCGGCAAGGTGCGTGCTGCCCGGGGCGAGGGCAGGGGCGGGCAGAGGGCACGGCCCGGAGCTGACGTGCTCCCTCCGCAGGCGGACGTGGCGGCGGCGCCCGAGGAGACCCAGGGTGAGCATAGGGTCTGGCCCGGGCGGAGGGGCCTGCGGGCCGGCCGGACCCTAATCCCTCTCCGCCTGCTCAGCACTCTATCGGGAGTACCGCGTCCTCAAGCATGTCCTGGGACAGGCGGGCGGCGTCCGGCCCCGCATCCCTGAGCAGGGAGCTCTCGCGGCGACCCAGGAGGTATATCTGCTCTTTCCCACGTGAGGGTGTGGAGGAGGGTTGTCGGGTTCCTGCGGCGCTGAAACCTCTGTCCCTTGTCGGTTCCCAGCTTTCCTCTGTGCCAGGTTCCTCATCATCTTCTTTTGTAGGCTCCGGAACCCAGCTGCTGGGGGCCTCACCTGAACCGGGCCGCAACCTGGAGTCCACTCCCTACCGCTGTGCCCAGCACCCAAGGATCTGTGCGGGACTACGGGAAGAGGCTCAAGGCCAATCTACAGGGCGCCCTGCAGGTGAGGGGCGCGGGCAGGAGGCAAGCACCCCCTAACACGCACACACACCCAGGCACTAACCGCAGACCCCCTGAGCTTCCTTTCTGTCTCAGCTTTGCTGGAGCCCCATCACAGAGGGTGGGTGGGCGCCCTGGAGCAGTTTTCAGAGCCTGCGGCAGCTGAGGGCTTGAGCTGCTTGGTGGTGTGCCCTCCTCCCAGGCAGAGCCAGCCCTGGGCCGCATACCTCGGCTTCCGGGAAGACCCTCGTCTGAGACTCTTGCTCTGGGGCTGCCAGACACAGAGGCTGCCCCTGCTTCTCCAGGACTCAGCCCGGTGCCCCCTCAGTGTCCTGGACCCCAGCTGCAGCCAGCCCGGCTTCAGCAGTTACAGTTATCCCGGAGTCAGCGACTGAACTCTCTGGACCCTGGCTGGCTGCAGCGATGTCACGATGGAGCCCCAAAGCTGCTGGGGACTCCTGAGGCCTGTGGGCCTGGCTTGGGCACAGAGGGGCTATGTAGCCCTGGTGAGGGATCCCAGCCTCTGAGCCCAGGTGTGCTGGCCACCCCTGGTGCCTGCCATGGCCTCCAGGCTCCAGTGCTGCTGGAAGCCAACAACAGTGGATGGAGCACCCAGCCCAGTGAGGAGCAGAGACCGAACCCTGGGGGGTCCCCTTCACAGTGGGGCAGCAGCCATGTGGAAGCCCAGAGTAAGAACGCTGGGACCACAGAACCTGAGGAAGACCCACTGGAGGAGCCTATGGGGCAGCAGTCGTCTCGGCGCTGCCACAGTGTTGCAACACCCAGGTACCTGGCTTAGGCCACCAGGTAGGGTGCTTCCAAGTTAAGCCTGGTGGGCAGGCTCAGGGGCACAGCTTACCCTGACAACTCTTTCAGGTCTGTTTTCCAGGAAGGTGGTAACTACGTCAGGCTCAACCTAAAGCAGAAACGCTACGTTCGGGGCCCAGCCCTACGGGGCACTCATCTCCGAAAGCAGGTGATATAGGCAGGGTGCCCTCTTTGTGTGTGCCCTTGTGAGGTGGGGGAGGGTGTCTCTCCCCATGTGCACCATCGTGACTGTCCCGTACCTCCAGATGTGGAAACAGAAGCGGCAGAAGAAAGAGTGTTTTGGGGGCAGCCGGCCCAGGGCCCCAGTCAAGGACTCATGCTTCCGCTGTGGGCAGCTTGGCCACTGGGCTTCCCAGTGCCCCCAGCCAGGGAGGCCCTGCCTGTGGACAGGTCAGTTTGAAGGAACACTTTGTTCTTTATGAAAGAGGAGAGAGTGTTTTTGATCTAAATAAGAGGTCCTACCTGTTCTCTGGGAGCTCTGATGGCATAGTGCCTAAGACATCTCACTGCTAACCAGGACACTGGTGGTTCAAACCCACCAGCCACTCCTCGGAAAAAAGATCGGGCAATCTACTTTCGTAATGCTACTGCCTCGGAAACCCAAGCAGGGGTCACTGTAAGTTGGCTCTGACTCGACGGCAATGAGTTTGGTTTGGGTGTCGGTGACCTGCTTCCCACCTGGGCCCAGAATCTGCTGTAGCCCTGGAGGAAAGCAGCAGAGGCAAAGGTGCACAGCCCCTGCCCACGCTGGAGGCAGTGGCCCGGAAGACAGGGGCTGCCCACTGCAGACTCCCTGGTGAGTCGGGGCTACAGTGGGGAGCAGCCCAGCTGTGTCAGTTCTCAAGCCTACCCCTTTGCTATCTTCCCAGTGGGTAAGGACAGTGCACCCGCCAGGCCTGAGCTACTGGGGTCCGTGGAGTCCCACTCAATCCCCACAGTGCCCCCACTCTACCAACCAGGGCCCTCTGGGCAGGTAGCAGGTGAGCAGAGGCCACAGCCCAGTCTTTTGTGGAGGTAGGAGAGCATCTGAGTGCCATAGTGAACGGATGTCTGTCTTCCCAGAGACCCCACCTGAGGTGTTCCAGGCCCTGGGGCAACTGGGGCACCAAACCTTCCGGCCTGGGCAAGAACAGGCGGTCATGCGAATCCTGTCAGGTGAACCAGGGGCCAGGGTCAGGTGGGGTCATGGGAACAGTGCAGGCAGACCTCCTACTGACTCCTGGTCGCCTCAGGCATCTCCACTCTGTTGGTGCTGCCCACGGGCGCCGGGAAGTCCCTGTGCTACCAGCTCCCAGCATTGCTCTATGCCCGGCGCAGCCCCTGCTTCACGATAGTTGTCTCCCCGCTGCTGGCACTCATGGACGACCAGGTGTGTGGGGACTGCTACTTCCTGCGTTTGCCCCAGCTGTCTTTGGCCCAATGGCAGCACACCCCAGTGGCCTGTGAGCCGATACAGCAGGTCTGCCCGCACCCACAGAATTTCTGGACACTCAGTCTAAGGACCCAAGGTCCTGGTCCAGGTCTTCTGTCCCCAGAGGAGGTATCTGGAGAAGGAGGAGGACAGGGACAGGCCATGATGGGTGGGCTCCTGCCTGCAGGTGTCAGGCCTGCCTCCAGGTCTGAAGGCCGCCCGCCTCCACTCAGGCATGAACAGGAAGCAGCGGGCAGGTGTTCTACAGGAGGTGAGGGGTCTGGCCTCAGGAGAGGGCTGGTGGGCGGGTGGGGCACCTGGGCTCTGCCCGCCTCGACCCTGCCTGGTTCTGCTGCTGCAGGTGCAGGCGGCCCAGATCCACGTGCTCATGCTGTCACCGGAGGCGCTAACAGGGGCTGAGGTGGGGGGCCATGCCTGCCTACCCAAGGCCTCCCAGCTGCCACCCGTGGCTTTCGCCTGTATCGATGAGGCACACTGCCTCTCACAGTGGTCCCACAATTTCCGGCCCTGCTACCTACGCGTCTGCAAGGTGAGGCCGCTTCCTTGAGGGGTGGAGGTGTTTGGGCGGGCCTGGGGGGCAGGGCCTCACCCCTGTACTTGGCAGGTACTGCGGGAACACATGGGCGTGCGCTGCTTCCTGGGCCTCACAGCCACTGCCTCTCGCAGCACTGCCCACGACGTGGCCCAGCACCTGGGCATGGTTGAAGGGCCAGGCCCCAGTGCACTTCCAGCCACCATCCCCGCCAACCTGCACCTCTCTGTGTCCATGGACAGAGACCCTGAGAAGGTAGGGCTGTGCACGCCAGGGGTGCCCCCCAGCCCCCTCCCCTGGGGCTCCTGCTGACTACCATCCCCCCCCCAGGCCCTCGTGACGCTGCTGCAGGGGGACCGGTTCCGCACCCTGGACTCTGTCATCGTCTACTGCAACAGGCGCGAGGACACAGAGCGGGTCGCCACCCTCCTCCGCACCTGCCTGGGTACGGCCCTGTGTCTCAGAACTCGGCCCTGGGCAGGCTCAGGCCCACGTGACCCCAGCGTCAGCTCCATCCCACCCACTGTCTCCCTCCCCAGGTGGCGCTCCCGAGGCTGTGGCTGAAGCCTATCATGCTGGCATGTGCAGCCGGGAGCGACAGCGAGTACAGCAGGCCTTCATGCAGGGCCGGCTGCGTGTGGTGGTGGCCACAGTGGCCTTCGGGATGGGGCTGGACCGGCCAGACGTGCGGGCTGTGCTGCACCTGGGGCTGCCCCCAAGCTTCGAGAGCTACGTGCAGGCCGTGGGCCGGGCTGGGCGTGATGGGCAGCCCGCTCACTGCCACCTCTTCCTGCACCCGCAGGTTGGTGCTGCCTCCGTACCCTCCCCGACACAGGGTGTGCTCCTCCTCCCCTCCCTCTTCATTCTGCTCTGTGCAGGGGGAGGATCTGCGGGAACTGCGTAGACACGTGCACGCCGACGCCGTGGACTTCCTGGCTGTGAAGAGGCTTGTGCTACAGGTGTTCTCACCCTGCTCCTGTGCCCAGCGGCCCCGGGAGCACGGTGGGAGCACAAAGCAGGCTGTGGTCTCAGCAGAGAGCAGGCTGGACAGCAGCCAGGACACAACCCCTGGGTGGAGGAGATGCTGCCTGGGCCACACACGGGCCCTCTCAGTGGAGCTAACAGAGCAGGCTTTGGACATGCCCCAGGCGGGTGAGGAGCCGGGCCGGGCGGGAACAGGGCTGTCCCTGACCTCCTGCATCCCCTGACCCTGCTCTGCCACCAGCCATCGAGACCTTGCTGTGCTACCTGGAGCTACACCCCCAGCGCTGGCTGGAGCTGCTGCTGCCCACCTACGCCCACTGCCGCCTGCACTGCCCGGGGGGCCCTGCTCAGCTCAGCACCCTGGCCCTCAGGTGAGCACAGCCTGCACTCGGGAGGGGCAGGAAGGCAGGGGCCGGTGTCTCATGACCCTTCCCACCCTGGGCACAGGTGTCCCCCTGTGGCTGCTTGTCTGGCCCAGCAGCCACCCAAGGGTACAGGTGGTGGCAGCAGCTCTGTGGAGTTTGATATGGTCAAGTTGGCAGACTCCATGGGCTGGGAGCTGGCCTCCCTGCGGCGGGCCCTGCGCCAGCTGCAGTGGGACCAAGAGCCCGGGTCCAGGGCTCCGCAGAGCACAGGGGTGCTCGTGGAGTTCAAGGAGCTGGCCTTCCACCTGCGCTGCCGTGGGGACCTGAGTGCCGAGGACAAGGACCAGCTCTGTGAGTTCCTACATGGCCGTGTGCGGGCACGGGAACAGGAGGCCCTTGCCCGCCTGCGCCACACCTTCCAGGCCTTTCACAGGTATGGGGGCCGCCCACCCTTGTGCCTGGTACTTGCCCCTTGCCCCAGGCTGGGCACTGACAGCCCCCCGGCCCCCAGCGTGGCCTTCCCCAGCTGCGGACCCTGCCTGGAGCAGCCGGACAACGAGCGCAGCTCCCGGCTCAAGGCCCTGCTCAGACACTACTTTGAGGAGGAGGAGGAGCCGCCGGGGCCGGAGAGCAAGGAGGAGGAGGAGGGCCCAGAGCCAGGGCAGGCCAGAGTGAGTACCAGCTGCTCGTGGCGCGGAACGGGGTTAGCGAGGGAACTGACGGTGCAGCAGGCCCCTGCAGCCTCCCCGGTGAGAGGAACTGAGGCAGGGCATCTGTAGCCAGAGGGGAGACCCTCCCCGGTGAGAGGAACTGAGGCAGGGCATCTGTAGCCAGAGGGGAGACCCTCCCCGGTGAGAGGAACTGAGGCAGCGCATCTGTAGCCAGAGGGGAGACCCTAGGCAGCCAGCAGCGTGGGGCACACTGCAGACCTCAGGGAGGCCTTCTTACCCACCCTGCCCTAGCTCCAGGACTGGGAGAACCAGATCCGCCAGGACATCCGCCAGCTCCTGTTCCTGTGGCCAGAGGAGAAGTTTTCCAGCAGGGCTGTGGCCCGCATCTTTCATGGCATCGGTGAGGGGCTGAGGTCCTGGCCCTGCTGTGGCATGGGTGGGGGCCAGAACCAGCCACAAGACCTCACGGCTCCTCTTTGCCTGCCCACTGGACCAGGAAGCCCCTGCTACCCAGCCCAGGTGTATGGGCGGGACCGGCGCTTCTGGAGGAAGTACCTGCACGTGAACTTCCACGCCCTGATGCAGCTGGCCACCGAGGAGCTGCTGCTGTGGGGCCGCTGATCACCTGCTGTGCTCTGGGCAGAGGTGTGAAGTTGGCAGCCCTGGCCAGGGTAACTGAGCACCCCGGGCAAAGCCTGCTAGGAGGGTTAGGGGAGACAAGTGGACCCAAAGAATGCAGAATAAAAGTCATCCTTTTGACTCCAAGGACCCGCTTTCCAGTAACAGCTTCACGTGCTGCACAGACTGAGGAAGGTCCTAGCATGCTTGGATTTATTGATTATAGGTTCAGGGAGCCGGGCGCCAAGCCCAGGTAGACAGTGGGCACAGCTGCAAGAGCCAGGAAGACAGAGAAGCAGGGCCGCAGCCCCAGCCCGTCGGCTAGTGCGCCAGCCAGTGTGCCCTGCAGCAGCTTCCCCTGCAGCTCCAGGGTGGCCAGGAAGCTGTAGTGTGTGGCCTAGAGCGAGCGAGAGGGGCCATCAGGGCCCGGGAGCACACAGCCAGCCACCCCACGGCCCCACCCACCCCCTTACCTGCAAGGCGCTGGGGGCAAGCTGACTGCAACGCATCATCAGGGTGAAGGTGACAGTGGTGACCAGGCCTCCCAGGAAGTGCTGCACACACAGACTCAACAAGGCCATCCCTGCAGGGAGAGTGGAAGTTGGTGGGGCCCAGGACTCCAAGCCCCCCATGGCTAGCCGGCCCTCACCTTTCAGGACGGTGCCAGGGCTCACATCGGTCCCCAAGGCATCCAAGCAGAAGAGCAGGGCAGTCTGGCAGGCCAGGCCTCCCAAGCGGAGATTTAGCACTGGCCTCAGAAGGGGCAATGGCTGCCTGAGGGGGAGGGGGTGTGCAGTCAGGGGGAAGGATGAGTGGGCAGGATGGGAGGGGGAAGGGAGCTGGGGGCTCACCGGTGCCTGGCTAGCAGGGCTCCGCCCAGGGAAGAGCCAGCGATGGAACAGGCCACAGCTCCCATGCCACTCCACAGCCCCAGCTCTTGGGCAGAGGCGCCATGGTCCAGCAGGAGAAGCGGGAACAAGCTGCCAACACCCTGCTCACCTGGGGGAAAGGGTGATTAGGGCACCGCGAGCCTGCCCCCCTCTTCCCACCCCCATTCCTGTTCCGCCCAGCTAGGTCCCCGCCCGCCTCTGTCCCCTTCCTCGGTCCAGGTCCTAGCCACAGCAGGCAAGTAGTCTTGAAGCCAATAGGGCTTCATGGCCGAGCTCAAGACAGAGCAGCCCCAGCAAGACCTGGGGCTAGCGAACAGTAGAGGCCTAGCTGCAGAGTCCTGGGTTCACCTGCAGGTTGTACCCTAAGCACTGGGAAGGGCAGCCCTACAAGTGGGCTCCTGGGGACCCACTTGACATAGCCTCGAGCTCCAGCTTGGTGTCGCCTGGTTCAACACCTCACTCACCCAGCTTGTAGGTGAACACAAAGCCAGCCAGCCACAGGGTCCCAGGCACAGCCAGTAGGGCTTGCAGGTGGTGCTGAGGGCGTGGGCGTGGCTCTGAGGGCTGGGGCTGTGGCAGCTGGTGTAGGGCTGGTGCAGCCCAGGCCAGTGCAGAGGCCAGCAAATAGGAAGCAGCCAGGAGCACGAAGAGCAGGGGCCAGGAGAGGGCGGGCACCAGAGCCAGCAACCCACCCCCTGCCAGTGCTGCTCCCAACTTGTAGGCAACCACCTGCACCGTGTTGCCAGGGCCCAGCTCGGCGGGCTCCAGGAGCTGCACAGCTAGGGCGTCCAGGGCCACATCCTGCACAGCCGCTCCCAAGTTCAGCAACAGGAGCAATACTGCGGTAGTGGCGGGCAGTCCAACCTGGCCGGCCTCAGCTGGAGGCAACACTGCTAGCAACCCACACACGATGCCCAGCGCAGCCGTGCTGAGCACCAGCCAGGCCCGTGGAGACCCCCTTGTATCCACTAGTGGGGCCCACGCCAGTTTGAACAGCCACGGTGCATAAAGCCCTTTGGCCAGTCCCACGCGCGTCAACGAGAGGCCACGGGCCCGCAGCAGCACGGGCAGCAGGCCAGACTGCAACCCATAGGGCAGGCCCTGGACCAGGTAGAGGCCAGCCATCGGCAGCAGCTTTCCGCGCATGGCTGGGGCGCGCAGGGTACCCGGCACAACGGCAAGGTGGGGGTGCAGGTCGCTGGCGGTCTGGAAGGATCCAAGGTGAATGGGGCCAGAGGTCACAGCCGGCGTGAGAGCAAATCAGGTTCCAGGTGGGGCCTAACAAGGTGTGGTCAAGTCAGGATGATAAGGTCAAGGGTAACGTATAGGCTTGGATTCTGAGATGGGGTCAGGCTTGGACAGGTGGGGTCCTAACGCGCACCTTTGGGTCTTGTTAATGCCCCAGAAGAACAGAAACTGGGTCCAAATCGTGGAGGAAGAGGGCTGTCCTCCCAGAGGCGGGTACTCCCAACACATGCGGGGCTTTCAAAAAGAAGGGAAGCCCAAGGCTCCCGGCATGCTTCGCGTGGCTGCAGACAATAAGCCCAGGAGGGACGAGGCCTCACAGGCTCCACCTGCTTCTCTTGCACCCCGAGTCCGGCACCGCCTGCCCTGGCCCACCCCGGACTCAAGCACCCTCTCGGATCTGCAGACCACCGATCGGAGCGCGGGACGGCAGGTCCAGGAGACTCCCGCGCCGGAAGTCCCGAATCGTCGGCAAATTGCGCCGCTGTCATAGAGAACAGGAGGACAGCCTAGAGCGTCGGCTCTCTCGCTCTCTACTGCCTCCAGTGGTAAACCTGGGTAAAGGTTTCAGGCCAGCCTTGCTGTTGGGACCCCTGCCTCTCAGACGCACACAAATACACCGAAATCTTCCGAGGATGGGAGAGGCTCAGAGGAAGCGGCAGAGGAACCAAAAGTAGGAGTCAGCCTGTACCCACACCCCATCTTCACAGATTAGGCCCCCTGTGAGCTGGACCCTAACTCTCCAGTGGTGCTTCCTGGGGCCCTGGAAACCTTATGGAAGGAGGGGTGAGCCTCTTCACAGTGCCACTGTGTACCCTTAGATACCACCACCAGTGGACCCAGACCCACCCCCTGCCAGTGCTGCTAGTACCACCACCACTGGACCCATCTCCAGACACCACCACCACCACCACCACGACTACCTCACTGTGCTTGAGCCTTTAGCCCCCACCACAAGCCAGTGGCTGCAGAAGGCTTCAGAGGGCAGGGCTGGTGGGCCTAGGGTTCAGCCAGGACACAGTCAGGAGCTGCCTTCGATGCCCTCCAGTGTCCAAGTGACAAGGCTATGGGTCTCTGAAGTCAGCCACACCCTTGGGCCAAGTTGTGGGCAGGCAATGCATCCCCTTCCACTGCCATGGAAGCCACTGTGAACTGGTTTCCTGGCACTGGCAACATATTCATGGGACTCAAAGTTCCTCTTCTCTGAAGTGGACATTACCAGCCAACCTCAGAGGAGTATTTGGGCAGATGACGTAAGTGACCCCCAGCAGTGTCATCAAACCCTCCCTCTACACGCCCCCTCTGGAGCGCTTCACGCTTGGTACACCTGCCTTCTCTCCCTGCCTTCCAGTGCCTTCCCACCAAAAACACATTTCAATTTGATCTCATATGAACAGTCCCGTCCCATACACTCTAAACCCAGTACCTCATGTGCTCCTCCCTCCCCCTGGGGCACCAGGCCAGTTAAGAGGAAAAGCAAAACTCCCTAGAGCCTTCTTGTCATGCTCTGTGCTAGCTTCTTATGGCTTAACATTTCCCCTGCGCTGCTAGGGAAGAGGTGGGCAGTCCAGGAATGGGAGCCAGAGTCATCCTCTTCAGGAAAGGCCATTCTTTGTCAAGCCACACCCTTTACCGAACAGATCTGGTCCCCCATGAGCTGCTTGCCTTCATGGCTCCATCTTATTAGAATGGGTCTGTCTCTACCACACGGGGCGCACACCTGGGAGCCCTGAGGGACAGAGGTAGCATCCTCTAGGAACCTTCCGGGATCCTCCTTCCACCAGAGTCCGCTGTCCTCAAAGGCAGGGAGAATCCCTCAGGGCTGGGTTCCCCGGTCTGCAGAGAACCCAGGACCGGCAGATAGGAGTTGAGAAAGCCACAGACGCAAAGAGCCTCCAGGAAGCCCCTGGGAATCAGGCTGACTGGCAGCTTTATTAGGGGACTGCAGAGAGGCAGAGGCCCAGCGCCCCGGCATCGGGAGCAAGTCCAGAGGCCCCCAGAGACCCCCAGGGTCCTGGGCACAATGAGTCCCGGGGCGGCCCTGCCGGCCCAGCCTGGCCTGCGCAACCCCCGACGATCTCAGGAGTACTCGAGGGTAAACCTGGCGTGGAACTGGCTCAGCTTCTCCAGCAGCTGCCGCAGCTTCTCCATGGGGGGCAGAATAGTCATCCTAAAAAAAAAAAAAAAAAAAACGGGGGATGGTAAGCAAAGGGGGCGGGATACGGGCAAAGGATGTGTGGGATGGACCTCACCGGAAGTGGTAGGTGCCTTCCCGCTGCCCAAAGCCGCTTCCAGGCACCACGCAGATGCCAGTCTCCTCCAGCAGGCGCATGCAGAAGAACATGTCCGGGGCCAGTCCCAGCTCCTGGAAACCTGGCGGTTCAGAGGCGGGGGGATCCAGCCCACGACCCCACACCGGGACCTGTCCACACCCCAGGCCCACCTCACCTGCGCGCGCTGCACTGCGCGCTGGGGCAGCTCCACGCGGGGGAAAGAGTACATGGCGCCCTGCACCGGGTTGCAGCAGATGCCCGGAGTCTCGTTGAAGATCCGTTCTGCGAGCTTGGCTTTGGCCGCCAAATCCGCCAGCACCGCCTGCTTCTCCTGTGGCCACAGAGATAAGGCCGGTGAGGGCGGGCGCAGGGCGAGGCCCCGCCCAGGCCCCACCCCTCGGCCACGCCACGCTAAGGCCCCGCCCCTCAGCCTCTCTCCCCCAAGACCACGCCCCGCGGCCAGGGCACGCCACGCCCCTCTGTCAGGCCACGCCTTCCCTTCCGACAGACACACACTCCACCCACCCACCTTCCTCTGTGGGAGAGTCCGAGGCATCGCGACCCTAGAAGACAGTGGAACTGCCCCGTGGGGTTTCTAGGGCTGTAGATCTTTACCGGAGCAGGCTGCCTTCTCCCACAAAGCGTTTTCACCACTGCACCCCTAAGGCTCCTCTCCCCGCCCCAGGCCCGCTTCCAGCGCCTCCCCAGAGCCCACCTCCCTTGCCCGCCCCCTCGTCCCCTCACCGCCTGGAACTGCGCAAAGGAGGGGTCGGAGGGCGCGGGCGGGCTGACCACCGTGTCAAGGAGGGCCTGGCCGGGCACGGGCGGGCACAGCCGTACGCTCATCAGCTTCTGCAGCTGCTGCTGCACCTCAGGGTCCATGTTCACTACCTCCACGTAGCCGCCGCGGAACCCGCACCTGTCAGGGCGAGGTACGCGTCGAGGCCAGGCCGGGGGAAGGACCTGGCCCGGCCGCGCCTGCATCCGCGAGCCCCAGCCCTGCACGCACTCGCCCATGTAGCCCTTGGAAGTCGAGTGGAAGGACGCGAGCTCCTGCTGCGTAGCGTACGGCGGCCCCATCTCGGTGAGCACCTTCTTGAACGAGTGGAACTGCGAGCCCTCGGCGTACACGTTGTCCTGGTACACCTGGGGGGCGAGGGGCGGTCAGCGCGGACGCGCCCTCCGCTTCCCGGCCCGCGCCCTCCCCGCCCCGCGTGCCCAGGAGGACACCTCGTCAGCCAGTAGGAATAGGCGCTCTTCGAAGGCGAAGCGGATCACAGCCTCGATGCACTCGCGGGTCTGCACCTGCCCTGGGGGCGCGGAGGGCGCGGCATGGCCACATCAGCCGAGGGCGCGCACTGCTCCCGGGGGGGGGGGGGTGTCACAGCTGCCTGGCGGGGCGGAGCCGCAGGAAAGGGCGTGGCCGCTCCGGGAGGGGCGGGGCCACAGGAAAGGGAGGGGAGGGGCGGCAGGAAAGGGCGGGGCGGGGCAGCTCACCAGTGGGGTTACCGGGGTTGATGACGCAGAGCGCGCGCGGGCGGCATCGTTCGCGCGCCTGGCGCAGCGCGCGCCCCAGCTCGAGCACGTCGAGCGCCCAGGCGCGCTCCTCGTCCAGGTAATAGTTGACTTGCGCGGCGTCGAGCTCGGCAATCGTGGCCGAGTAGAGCGGGTACTGCGGAATGGGGATGAGCACGCCCGTGCGCGTGCGGCCCTCGCCGGCCACCAGCAGCTTGAGCACCGTCTGCGGCGACACGGCGGCGGGCTTAGCGGAGGCGGGGACCCGGGCTGCCCCAGGCACGGCCGGGCCCTCTGCCTAAGCGCCGGGCGGCGCGCCAAGGGCCCCTGTGCCCTCCTGCCCTGACCCTGGCCTACCACGATGGCGTCGCTGGCCCCCGTGGACAAGAAGATGTTTGTGGGGTCGGAGGGGATGCCTCCGTCGCGCCGCTCGATGTATCGCGCCACGTCCTCGCGGATCAGCTGGATGCCGGAGCTGATGCTGTAGGCGCCTGGCCCGGGGAGGTCAGGAAAGGGCAAGTGAGGGGACGGGTCCCCTACAGTCCACCCGCAGGGATCCGCCTCCTTCAGTGGGCGGGTCCACCCCTCCTCTGAGACGCCTCTCCAGCTGCTGCCCTCCCGGGGCCTTGGGCCGGCTCTTACCCAGGCTGTGGCCGCCGCAGGCCTGCAGGATACGCTCTGCCCTTCTCTTGGCATCCTCGGGGAAGTGGGGGCTGCTCAGGAGCTCAGGGTTGACACAGAGGGCCAGGACCTGGGAGGACCAAGTGTGAGGACAGGGCAGGCAGGGCGAGGCAGGAGGGGCACCAGGGCTGTGGGAACCTCACCTGGCGCATGAAGGTGATGGGCTTCTGCCCCATGGCCTGTGCATCCCCGATGTTGGCGCGGATGACCTCGGTGAAGGGCTTCTTCACGCCCTGGGTGGAGCACGGGCAGTGAGATGCCTTGGCCTTATCCCTCTCTGGCCCCACCCGCCATGGGGCTGAGGGCAGACTCAGCTGCCCAAGTGGAGCCCAGAGGGCTGCAGTGGGCCCAGGGTCATACCTGGCGGAGCTCCTGCTCCAGCTCCAGGGCGCGGATTACAATGGGGCCTCGCACCGCGTACTCCACCCTTCGTACACACTGGTTCATGGTGTCCACAGTCAGCACCTTGTCCCTCAGCCCGTTCATCGCAGCCTGGCTCTGGTCACCTGCCTTCAAGGCCATGACCCTGCCTGGGCCAGGCAGGGGAGAGGCTCAGGAAGTGGCCTTGGGACCCAGAAGTGGTGGCCGGATCTGGGGAGGGAGAGCCTACCTAGAGAGGGCACCCTCTTTTGCTGCAGCCTGCCGGCCCGAAGAGGGGGAAAGGACTGAGGGAGGCACTGGGCCCATCTGGCCCCGCCCCACCCGCCTGGGCACAGTTCTGCTCCAGGGAGCCAGAGGGAGTGGGTGAGGAGGCAGGCGGGGCTTGGGTCAGGCCCAGTGCCCGCCCAGTGTCCCAGTGGCAGGGGAGCAGGAGACCCACAGTGGGGGTAGGGACAAACACAGGGTCATGGATGGCTATGGTTAGCAAAGCTCTCAGAGCCCACGTGGGGGAGGGAAAAGTGGGCTGAGCGCCTGGGGAGAAGGAGGTAGCCTGGGTCTGGGGGCCTGAGGGACTGGCAGAGCCAGGCAGGGGTAAACCGAGAAGAGAGCACGGTGGCACGGCACACCACTGTGATAGGAAAGGAACCTCGGGCCTTGGAAGATTTACCCCAGCAGGGATCGGCCAAGGCCTAGACCTCTTGGACCCCCCATCTTTGCTTGGGCCAGCAGACCTATCTCCTAGGTAACTGAGCCCGGCCTCAGGAATCCTGGGGGGCATTGGGGGAGGGGAGGGAGACATCCAGACACTGGGTTCCATCCACCCCTCGCCAGCTGGCAGCTGCAGCCTGGACATGAGGAGGGCCCTTGGTTGGACCTTGGTTCTTGATCTCAGCTTCAAGGCCCCATTATGGTGTTGGGGGAGGGGTTGAGGACAGGCAAGGGCGACTTGAGTTCTCCTGATGCCTCAGCTGCCCTTTCACTGTGAACCAGCCTGGGGCTGCCCTTGAGCTGTAACCTGGGGCCTGGGGTTCCTTTCCCGACTGCTCCTGATTGGTGGGTAGAGCGGGAAGCCAGCTGGGATAGGGCCTCAGGGCCCCACCTCCACAGGCCTGCCAGGAGCTGATAGGCCATGCCCACGGGTGGCTTCCCCGGTGGCTGCCTGCCGGCTTCTGACTCTAGGCTGAGGAGCCAGGGAACTGGCCCCTGGGTGGCTGGTTGGGCCAGAGGGGGTGCCTCAGATCCCTCTGGTCCTGCTGGTCCCCAGCTAGCTGAGACGCCCAGGGCAGCCATCCCTCCCTGCCCACAGTCTCACCTCGAACTTCTCTGCTCCCCTGCCACTGTGACCTCCTAGAGTGCAGGCCTCCCCTCTGCCCCCAGTGGAAGCACAGGTTAATATGGGCCCAGCCCCAGGCAGGGCCAGCCCCCTCCCGCCCCCTGGCAGGGCCCAGCTGGCAGCTGAGGCAGCAGGTGGATGTCTGGTTGCTGCCCTGCCCACTCTAAATTTAACCCAGGGCCTTCCCCCCGCCCCTGCCGCCCTTCGAGGATACCCCTCCAACCATATTCTGGGAAAGACAGGCCCCAGGACATCGGGCTGTCCCAGTGGGTCCCAGTGTGAAGGAGAGGCCACCTAGCAGTGGTGGCCATGGGTGGATAGGCAGGTGGGCAGCAGTTCCCTTCCCCTACCCACTTAAGGCCCCAGAGGGCCCCCTCGCCCTGACACACTTTGCATGGCCAATTCGGAACTGGAATGGCCAACTGCTTGTCCCCTCTGCCAGCCCAGGCGGAAACTGGCAGTGGGCCGCTGGATTGGAGCTGCATGCCAGTGACTGGGGACCCCTCCCCCAGGGAGTTTCTGAGGCCAGCATTGTATCTGCCTCGCCCCTCTGGCTCTGGCCCAGCAGTCATGAGAAAGGCAGCCCCCTTCCCAGGCCAGAGTCCCTGGCCCTCCAGCATGGGCACCCCCAGCCCCAGTCCCCCAGGATCCCCCCTCCACAGCACCGTGCTTCCCTTGGGGAAGCAAAAGAGTTAAGAGGACTGGGGTGCAACAAGTGCCAGGCTTCCTGCCCCGTCACCATGGCCTCTCCCATACGGGCCAGGGCAGCCTTGGCGCGTACCTACAGGCCTCAGCTAAGTGCTCGCAGGAGTAGGGTGTGGCGGAAAGGCACCCAGGGCCCAGCAGCACAACCCACTCCCCGAGTGGGACGAACTCAGAGGAACAGGCAACACGGCGGCAGGCAGTCCTTTTTATCAGCAGTCACAGAAGCAAGGTGTCCACAGCCCAGCCCCATCCAGACAGGCTCTGACCCCACAGAGTCCATCCCAAAGAGTTAGTGCGGGCCTGTGCTGGCTACCTGCCCACAGCACCGTCACACACGGCGTGGGTGTCCAGGGCAGGGCCGTCCACGGGAGCCACTGGCCTTCACATGAGCAGGCAGCAAGGCCTCTTTTCCCCAGGAGCCTCCACCGAGGGCGCTGTCAGCTTGAGCAGGGGCGGGTCTCCGCCGGCCCTGGAGCTGTGCTCAGACTGGGGAGTCTCCAGGTCAGCAGGCAGGCCAGAACCAGGGACTTCAGGCCCCTCCGGCGGCAGTCGCTGTAGCTTGGCAGCGGCTCGGTGACGCTTGAGCTCTGCCAGGGTGTGGTGGGCCTGGTCCCGCCCGAGGGCTTCAGCCGTGGAGCTGTCCAGAGGGCTCAGCTGGTAGGAGACGCTTCGGTCCAACCGCTTGGAGTACAGGCGGGGTCCCAGGGGGCTCCCCACTCGGCCATTGTGTGGGTGGGTGGCCTCGGGTTCCTCCTGTGGATGCAATGGGGCTCACCGTCAGGGGGTGCCCCTCTATGCCCCAGCCTTGGGCCTGACAGACCAACGGACGTGAGGAGATGCTAGCCTGGACCCTGCAATACCGCCCTGCAGGAGGTGCCCGCACACAGGAGAAACCGGGGCATGAGGTGCCAGGGCACAGGGCAAGGCAGGAAGGACTGGGGCCCAGCCAGGTCCACCTTTTGGCTGGCATTTTGTCCTGGGGGTGGGGTGGCGCTCACTTCCGGGGGCGGTGGCTGGAGCTCAGCGTTGGTCTGCCGGTCCTCATCCTCCTCCAGTGGCTCAGGGCTGGTGGGTGGGGGCTGTTGCCACACTATGGCCTCCTGCACATGCTCCTTGCGGTACAGGCTGGAGCGCTGGGTCAGGCTCGCCCGCCGCACCACCTTCCTGGGGGAGGTGGGGGAGGGCAGGGAGTGGGAGGCCTGCCCGCCCTGCCCTGGGGACTCTGCCCCGAGCTCCAGCTGGCATGCCCAGACAACGACCGACGTCACCACGCCCTCCCCGTGACAGGGCAAAGCACAAGGGGCAGGGCTGGGCAGGCAGGGTGCCAGCTGGCAGGGTGCTGAAAGGCGGGTCTGTGTCAGTGCTCACCCCCGGCTGCCTGCGCTGGAGGTGCGGCGGCGCAACAGGGAGCGCTGCCGGCCCTGGGCCCGCAGGAGGGCGTCCCTCTTGTGCTTCAACTCCAGCAGCTTGGCTCGCACCTCCTCGTCCCCGCACACGTCTGTGGGAGGGAGGGGTGAGCCCGGGCGCCCAGCCAGCCCGGCCCACAGGCAGGGCCAGAGGCAGGATCCCCAAGGGGCTCACCGAGGGGGGTCTCATCCATCAAGGACTTCCCATTCAAGTCGGCTCCGTGTGCCACAAGCAGCTCCACCAGGTGCAGCTGAGGACGCGCAGGCGGGGTGCACGGTGAGGCTGCAGAAGGCTGCAGGAGCCTGGGGCGCGCCCCACCTGCACCCCACCTGTGCGCCCACCTGGCCCCAGTAGGCTGCGGCATGCAGCGGCTCCCAGCCGTCGCGGTCCTTGGCGCTCAGGCTAACCCGGTGCTCCAGCAGCAGTGCAGCCGCCTCGCCAAACCCGTTGGCAGAAGCGATGTGGAGCTGCAGGCGGAGCGCCGGGCCTGAGCGGGGTGAGGGGCCGAGAGGGAGTCCCTCTAGGGCTCCCCAAACCCCGTGGCGTACCCCCCACTGGCTCCAGTTTACCCCCGCAGCCCCACTCTCACCAGCGTGGCCCCGTGGTCTCTGGGGGCATCGAGGTCAGCCCCCACGTGCAGCAAGCCCCGGATGTCCTCCAGCATCCTCAGCTCCGGGATGGCCCTCGCGCCCTCGATGCCCTCCTGAGTGATGCCTGCAGGGCCCCAGGCTCAGAGCGGCCTCTGCGCGGCCCCACCCGACACGCGCCCGTCACTCAGCACACGCGCCCGTCACTCAGCACACGTGCCCGTCACTCACCACGCTCAGCCATGGCCGTTTCGAGGCAGTCCAGCGTCTGCTCGTCCTCACACAGGTCATAGGGCATATTCCCATCAGTGTTGACCGCCAGGAGGTCGGCACCCCTGAGGGAAGAGCAGGGCTCGGGAGGCGCCAGCCTGTGCCCAGCCCTGCGGGGAGGTGTGCCGGAGGAGCACTGCTGGGCCCTCCCCAGTGCACAAGCTCCCTGGTCCTCTCAGCACCCTCCTCCACCCATGGCTGCCCAGGCGGTGGACAAACATAGGGAGGCCCACCTGGACGGTGCAGGGACCCAGGGAAGAAAGCTATGTGGAAGGAGTCCACCTGCTTTGGTTAAGAGACTTGCAGAATGGCAAGGGTGCCCCCCAGGGTGAGGGGAGCCTGGGACAGAGGAGCTGGGCCAGAGGCCTTGGTCTGCAGCTTCTCAGGGTCCTGGATCTGCATGGCCCAGCCCTTCCTCCTCCACGGGGCCTGTGTGAAGGGGACCGACATGCCCCTTCCACAGCTACAAGGATGGCCTATGTGAGCACAGGGCTCAGGGACCACAGAGACAAGGGCCCCCTGACCTCCTGGACCCTAGTAAAGCTGACACCCCTCCCCATGCTTACTGAAGGGGTCATTTCAGCCTGCTCAGCCCTCGTCCTATGAAGGTAAAGGCCCTACCTATATGCCAGGGACCACCTTCCAGGTCCCAACCAGCCTCTCCACCCTCCCTTCTCACCAAGTCTGCTCTCATCACTGGGGACAGAACTCCCCAGCCCTCTGTCTTGTGCTCCTGCCCAGACCTGTCGCCAAGCCAGGATACAGGAGAGGCCCGCACAAGGGACAGTGGGGACCAAGGCCAGGGGCTTGGCTGTTGCTCAAGAGGGGATATCCCCTCCCTGCTGCAGACACCCTGGTCTCCAAGCTACACCTGTTCCCGGGCCCTACCGGGCAATGAGCAGCTCCACCAGCTGCAGGTGGCCACAGGTGGCAGCAGCGTGCAGGGGCGTCCAGAACTCACTGTCACAGGCATTGACGTTGGCCCCGGCCGCCAGGAGCTGCTGAACCATCTCCCGGAAGTCGTCAATGCAGCACTGCGAGCACAGGGACCTGAGTGGTGGCTACCATCTGGGCCCACAACCCCTCGGCCCCAGCCCCTACAGTCCACACTGACCTGGTGCAATGCTGTCAGGCCATCCTCATTGGCCAGGTCAGGGCTGACCCCGCTCTCAAGGAACTGGTGGACTACGAGAGAAGGGAGGTCATGGTCAGGGCTAGAGCAGAGGCTTTGCCTGGCCTGCACAAAGCCCTGGTCCCTGTTGCCGTGGCCTAGAAGCTACCCAGGCCCCTGTGCTCCAGGCCAACTGGGCCCATAGTACTCGGGGTCCGTATGATACAGGAGTGTCACGGAAAGCAGAGGGACCGAGAGCCCAGGCTGCAGGGCATCCTGTCTGCCCCGTCCACACCGAGATGGACGTCTTGACTTGCGCCACCAGGTACCCACTCAGACCGCAGAATGGAACCCAGCCCTTCCTGTATGAGTGCAGACCCACTGGCTCCAGACGGCTCTGCTCTGAAGGTTTTATCCTTCCTGGATCCCACAGCTCCCTCCAGCCCTGCACTGGCAGGCCTGTCCCCTATCTTCCTCCCTCCCCTTCTCTGTTCTGCTGCCACAGTGCCCGGACCAGCTCAGAGAAGACGGGGATGCCCAGGAGTTAGGGCCAGCCTCTGCCCGAGAAGGCCCTGCAGCCTTGGTGAAAGCAGGAGGCCACTCCAGCAATCGGCCTGGAGGGCAGGTGCTGGAGGCAGCCACGCATCTCTGAGCAGCCTCTCACAGGAGCCAGAACCACATCTAACCCTGTGAAGCCTGAGAACCCTGGGCCACCCCACCAGGGGGGTCAGGTGGGCAGGAAGGAGAGGCAAAGCCAGGCCATCAAGGGGAGCGAGTGGCAAGGAGCTTAGGGTTCTGGGAACAGCCTCCACGGTGCCTGTCTGTGGTGTGCCCAGGGAGGCTGCAGCGGAGGAGGCCAGAGCCCAGCACTGTGCCTGCCTGCGCCTGAGCACTTGTGGATCAAGAGAGTGCACCTGCTGTGTGGCGCTGCCCAGAGACCCTACAAGTAGGCTGCCAGCTGGGTCTCCACATGCACGCACCTTCCTCCAGGTCGTTGCGGGCAGCAGCCTCCAGGAGGACAACGTTGGCAGGGAAGAGGACCTGCTTCTTGGGCCGGCCACCATCTGGGCCCTGCCGTGGACACTCCCCAGGTCCCCTTCTGCCCTGCGCCTCCTTCTGGGCCTGGGCCCACAGCCGCACTTGCTGGGCACGCCGCTTCTGGGCATGTTTCAGCCGCTCCTGGGCACTCATTCGGCCCACCATGGGCATCTCGGCCAACAGCTCCAGGTGCTCGGCCATGGTGGGGGCTGCTCAGGGGACGCTCGGCAGGGTATGGGGGCCAGGCCTGCAGGGCGGGGCTGCTGGCTGCACTGGCACCCTCAGGGGGCATCCCCTCCCCACAGCACGTGCCCTCTGCCTCGGGCAAGGCCAAGCTGGGAGGCCCTGGAGGTCACCAGGCTGACCTGGGGCACGGCCCCTGCCAGGAGCCAGCAGGGGGTACTACAGCCGGCTCACCAGGCCACCCGGCACCTTGGCCACACGGCCGAGCTGGGCCTCACCCCCATCTCGGGGTCAGGGTGCACAGCCTGTGGGAAGCAGCCGGCCTCAGTCCAGGGTCTGAAGCTAATCACTCAGATAAGAGTTCCAGTTTCCTGGTGCCTGTCAAGGGGGAAGGGCACACAGGCTGATAGGCAGCAGCACCTGTGACCCTGAGTCCTAGAAGCCCCTCTACCCACCTTCCAACCCTCAGGACCCTTTTTGGGGCCTGGCCTCCCCTGTCCCCACAGTCAGTGCCTGGCCCAGGGTGTCCTCAGGGCACTAGAGCCTGTAGCCAGGCCTCTCCTTGAGTGCTCACAGGCTGGGCCCCAGCATGGGGGGCTACTGGGGTGAGGGCCTCCAGTGAGTGCTCGCAGGCCGGGCCCTGGGGTGAGGGTGTCCAGGGCCCAGGGTGGAAGGGCCAGTCTGCAGTCTTCCCTCCAGGTAACGCACACACAGAGGAGCAGCTGCTGAAGAGGAAACACATCAGAGAGCGCTGGGCTCCATGCACAGGCTCAGTGCTGTCTCTGGGGGCTGCCTGAGTGGGGCCACCCTCTGACCACGGAGAGCACAGGAGGGCACCAACCACAGCCTCAAGGGCCCACAGGCCCAACCTGCTCAGCCTTCCCCTGGGGGACTAGGGACCTAGGAGGGGCAATCCCAGGAACTGGGAGGCTCCCGGGCTGCTGCCTGCTGCTCGTGGACCACCGTCCTAGGCACACTCACCTGCCCGAGCAGTCCTGCCCGAGCCCCTCTAGAGATGTTTCCCAGCCTCCAGGAGGGGCCTGAGCAGCTCCCCAGCCTACTCAGGTCCACACAGGCCCAATTCCTCTATGATCACCTTCCCTGTGGGCCACCCGCAGTGTGCTGGGACTTCTAGACTGCCACCCTCAGCTGTGGGACCCCAGGGAAGCCCACCTGGACAGCAACCCCCCTCCCCCTGCCCACTCCACAGTTCTAGGCCAGGGAGGGGGCCCTAGAGAGAGCGTCCCCACTGCCCATGTCCATAGAGGGCAGAGAGTCCTCACAGACCAGGCCCCAGCAGAGTGGCCCTCACAGGGGCTTCAGGGACCAGCTTCACTTCTCAAAGAACTGTACCAACACCAGTGCCGACTCCTTTTCCTGTGTCAGAGGCTTACAGACACATACAACCCTGCCTTTTTGAAAAAGACAGGGTACACCGAGCAGCCTGCACCTTCTCCAGACAGAAGCAAAGAACCTGAGAACAGAACCAACCCCTTCAGTTGGATAAATGCTGTTTTTGAGCGAGGATGTCCCACGCACCCCCACTGTGGCTGCAAAGGACAGAGAGCACCCTGCCAGGTCCCCACAGCACGGGGGCGGGGGGGCTTGTTCTGCCCTTCCCACCACATGGCACTTGCCCCTGCAGGCTGGCCTTCCAGAGGCCCTGCCCGGCTGCCCTGTAAGCCCCTCAGTAGGTACTCCTTGCCAGAACTCCCGAGGGCAGTCTTGGGGTGACCTTGGTCAGGTCACTTCCCTGCTCCAGGGCCCAGCTGTCTCCTCTACAGGGAAGCAGTTAGCTAAGGTAATCTGGGAGCAGGGGCCTGCCCGATGGGCCTCACAGAGGTGACACGATGCCCACCTCCCCCAGGCTGAGTCTCGAGCTGCAAGTCACTACCCCTCCTGACTATGCCTGCCCCAGTCTCCTGGCCCAGAAGCCAGCCCAGAGGGGACAGTCCAACCAAAGCCCAGTGATGGCTCTGGGGGGCTACAGGAGGAAATGCCCCTCCTCCTACCTGCAACTTGGCAGCCCTGCAGCTGAGCACCACCCACCTGGCCACCTCCTCCCAGCTGCCAGTGGCCCAGAAGACAGCCACCACATACGCCCAGGCTGAGAGCAGGGCAGCTCTGCCATCCACCAATCCTACCCAAAGCCTCCCTGGAATGTCAAACAGAGATAATCTGAGTATTTTATCCCAAGGCCTCAGTCCGGTGCCTGGCAGCACCACAGGGCAGTGTGTGCCCCAAGGGTGGGAGGGCTCCCTCTTTGCCCCTCTGCCAGTAAGTACCTCCAGGCCCCAGGTATCAGCTCTCATTAGTCCCCACCAGAACAAGTCCAAGTGGGCCAGGATGCCAGGTCCTCTGACCTTGCCTCCACCACCACAGGCCTCCTCAGGCAAACCCTGTCATCACCCAACTCCGGGTGGGGAAGCTGAGGCCAGGTCTAGACCCTGCACTGCCCTGTTATCCATTCTACCACACCACCTTCTGTGGGTAAACCCTGTTCACTGATGGGAAGCCAGGTAGAGGCGGGGCCTGCTGAAGCAGAGGCAGTGGGCAGAGGGAGAGGTAGTGGGGAGCGCTGAAGGCAGTAGGTGGAAGGGACAGTAGGGATGAGGAGGGAGGGAAAGGAGCCAGGAGGGCTGGGGGACTAGGATGAGGAGGAGGTAGGAAGGAAAAGGGGAGGAGGAGGAGGAGGAGGAGGGGACTCTGGATGGCCCCTGAAACCACACCAGGGTGAGACCCGGAGACTTCCTCTCTGTGAGGCTGCAACATCAGCCCTGTAGCCCCCAAAGGCAGCAGGGCGGCTGCCACTGACCCACAGGCACAGGCGTTCTGGCTGAGGCAGGCCCAGGAGCAGGACCACCAGCATCCTGGAACGAGGTGAGGAGGCTCTGAGGGACCAGAGGACACTCTCCATGCACCGCTGCATGCAGGAGACACCCACACACTCGCACTTGCAGAGCTGCTGTGCCTGCTGAGTGTCCGGCCCTGCCGGGCGGCCCCTCTGGGCAGAGACCGGGTGGGAGCGTGGTGTGGACGACACTGCGGTCCTCCTCTGCACCCGAGGGGGCTGAGCCATGTGAATGCATTACATACTCAGAACAGCTGGGGGGCAAGCCTGACTCCCCACTAGATTAGTCACTGGGGACCCCGTGGGGAGCAGCTGGGTGGAAGCGCACCAACCGCGCCTTCCAAGCTGAAAACGGGGGCGAACCCACCCGTGCACAGCGCCAACTCAGCCGCCCTGCTAGAAACCAAAGACCCACACCAGCCTGTCAGGGTACAGGTGCCAGGACCAAGAGCAGAGCCCGCCCCGTCGTTGCCCTCGCCCCGACCCCATCCCAGCCACGCCCCCCCACCCTCACCCCAAC